TAGCTAAATTTGTTGCTTAATATTTCAACTGTATAACAGTTAACTTACTGTTGCCACAAATTATGTATGTATATTTTAACTACGTTGAATGCATTCATCGTAGTCGAAGCCAACTACAAGCTGATTGCAGCATTTCTGAATCACATTAGAGGTATTCCCCAAGTTAAACCATATACTGTTATAACAGCTTGTATAACACTTTTATTACACACGTTCGATTGCTGCCATTGTCGCCCAAATCCTTGTAAGGTCATTTAAAAGGCTTGCATGAAAGTGAAAAGTAAAACAAAACACAACGAACGACCCAGTTTTTTATTCAATGTTCTCATCACAACCCTGCCGAGTCGCGCCTTTCGATTTCATTCAGCGCGGCCCAGCTCAAGGATAATTACGATGCTTTTTGGCTCATCAACATCAGCGTCTTATTTACACAAATCTTGGCCGTATACATAATATATGGCCGCTTAATGGACGCATTCAATGCAACACATTTTCTACTCACATGCATATGCCATATAGACCTTATTCAGGCTTAAGGGCCCGCCTTTAAGCTTCTGTGCATTCTGTTCGTTAGGGGTACTCTGCACGCGGCAATGATGACATGTACTCAATTGGTCTGAGTGTAGCCTACTTCCAGGCAAATTAAATTGCTGTGTGCGTGCGTGTGTGCGTGTGTGTATGTTTACAACCAAACAAAACGCCGCACACACTTGACGCTGCATTAAGGCCGGCATAGTTTTAATTATGAACACACACACACATATATTTATGATGCCTACAGATGGACACTGATGCTCGTTAGAATGTGGCCTTCCTCCTCTAGTGTCTTCTGGTTCCGTTATATTGAATCGAATACATTATAATTAATTAAGATAATCTACGAGCTGAACTTCATATTCCTTCCCTTTTTGTGCAAAGTTCACTTTAACTCACATTTAATTAAACCCTAGAGCATGAGAAATACCTCGTTTTTGTAGTACAACATTTTATGGCTTGTACTCTGACTGTAACACCGCAGATGTGAGTGTACAACTTATTTTGACCGCCACTGTATGTCTGCAAGCGGACATCCTGCACTGGCATATGTGCACAGCCAGGATGTGCTGGACTGAGAGAGAGAGCTTTGTACACAAACCTAACAAATAGACAAACATACAAATTACCCAACAGAATGTGACTTCATTTGGTCTAACAAGTGAAAGAGCAGACAAGAAATGTCAAGAAAATTTATCAATAAAAACTTCATCAGCATTAAGTGACATTTGTGCAAATAGCCTGTAAAAATGCCACAACTAAGCTGTATGATATTGTGAGAGCTGGCTGCAAACTTGAAGTTTTGTATGTTATTTAGGTTCGCGTATACCCCTTGCAAATGAATGTAGTCAAAGCTTTCACATTTTTTCAAATATCGAAAGAGAAACTTAATAATCAAACCCACTTTTGTGTAGGTAATAGGGTATCTTCTAGTTGTGCATTTCGGCACGTCTATTGTATCGTGCTATTTCTTTTGCCGAGCATTTTAAAACGATTGGAATTTAACGTACTTTAAGCTTCTTCAGAACCGCCTACAGGGCATTTGCTAGTCGAAACACTCAACTTTCGAGATTTTTGGATGAATGTTGTGCGCGCTAAATTCCCGATCCTTTGCCCCAAGCCCCCGCCGCAGGACTTTCAGTCAAATCGTTGCGGCTATTTACACAAATTGCCATTGAAAATGCGCCTGCATGTGGCAAGTGGCATGTGGCAAGTGTGTGGCATGCGGCAGGAGTCGGAAGTCGAGCAAAGCGGCTTGCATAATTGAAATTATTTACATTATATTTAAGCGCAAACATTTCCCATTCAACCAGACAAGAGGAGCCTGGGAAAGTCACGACTCCTCGCCCTCGCCGACCGCAACTTTTTCATTTGCATCGATTTTTTACGACTTTTGCATACATATTTAACACGTTAAAAGGACTGCCTTCTCTTGTGTGTGTGTGTGCGTGTTTTTATTACTGATCAATTTAAGAGCTAAGCGTATTTTATATAAGGTAGAAGAATCTACTAGAGTAGAAGGCAACTGTTATACTTAGATACAGACTTAAAATGTCTATATTTTATTACCTACTATTTAACAAAGAACTGTTATATATTACTTAAAATAATCTTACGTAAGTAAATTACACTCATGGCTATATAACTCAGTTATTGTATACAGCTGTTAACAGCAGTTAAGATATGAAGTACCTACAGAAAACGCTGAATGTCTCTTGCTATACAGATCCATTGCGTTATTCAAAAGTAGTTGTTTACACAGATTCGCCATAGCAAAGTTTGAAACTGTTATGCAAATATGTAATGAACAAAATACACAGCACCTCAGTTACCTCAGTTATTTTATAAACTGTTATACAAATAACAACATTTTAAATAATATTAACATATAGTTACAACAAAAATATATTTAAGTCGCAACCAAAGCAGCGACAAAACATATTGATACGTTAAGCTTTTCTATTAATTAATAACTGTTATACTAGTACAAACCATCTTTAGTCCTTACAACAAAGCTTTTATATTATTCTATGCTGTTATACACAATCATAGACAGTTTTATAGTACAAACAGCAAATCTCAGAAAAATAATTGTTGTCAAACTATTTTCGCCTCGTAAGCTACAACAATCTAATATGTTTATGCATTCATATATATGTATATGTATATAAGCTACAACAATTTGCGAGCATTTTCGCTGTCGCCCCTTTTGGGGCGTGTCATTTAATAGGCGGCCGCCAGTGTTGCCAATCTGTGTGTTTGTCGGCCTGGCGCCCAAATGAAACGACATTAAATGGCAGAACTTGTAATTCAATTTCGTTCTGCCAACAAGGAAGCAGAAAAACAAACAAGTCGAGCGTAAGCGACTGCACAATGCTCTGTTCGCCTTGTAATTAATGTAATTAAATGGCCAGCTTGAAAGGTGTTCCAACTGCTGGAGCAATATACGATTATATATATTCCAAGTTTCAGATTTCTAGTAGTAGCTAGCACTGCACAAAACCAATATACCCCTTTACACTTTGCCAACAGAGTATGACAACCAAAATGAAACACAAACTAGATGCCAAACTTGTTATCGGCGCAATGGAAAACGTTGTCTACTTTTGTGCGCGCTTCATTTGCCTGCCCATATCTGACTTTTTTCGATGACGCGGAAATACGTACATATATAAATATATATATATATTTATATATCTAAATTTTATGGACAAGTTAAACGGCGTGCAGAGACTTATCGCAAATAAGCCCGCAAAACATGCCTTTAAGGCCTTTAATAGCAGCTCCCATCGACAACACACAAACAAATCCCCAACAAATGCCTATTTTTTATAATTATAGGGTATATAAGAATGGGGTATTCTAATTTTGTTAAATGCATAGAAGCGGACTCTATAGAGTGTATGTATTCTTGAACAATATCTGATCTGTAAATCTTTGCATAGATTTATCTTTCTGGTGAATCAGATATCTTCTATATCTACAAATGCGACTCTAATCGGACTACTTTATCATTTGATAATTGGCCATAAGAATAATTGGCATAAAATTCGTGCCTAACAAAGTGTATTTAGTCTTCGACTTGCCGCATTCTCTTGACTTTTTTTTTTCTGTCAGCCTAGTTTCTGGTGCTTGGCCAAATGCTCAACACGTTCCAGTCTCATTGTGTTGGCTTATTTCGCCCTCTGCCACTTGCCGTCTGTCAGATTTATGACAGTTTCGCTTGACACCCGAGTTAAAAATATATATATATACGCATTCCGTCGGGGCATACAATCGATTTTGTGGGCCAGTATTTAGTTAGTGCATAAATCATAATTTCCGGAATGACTGTCAGTTTGGGACAAGGCGTGTTCTTTAACGCCAATATGAAATAACATTAATCATTTGGATAAAAATTGAGTTTTTCAAATGGGAAATTTTGAAAGAAACAAATTATGAATGAGTACGCGATGATTTTATATAATATCTAAAGTAATTTTCCTTACAAGCATGTTTTAAAAAAAAAAATGTACATAAATTTTCCTCAGTTGAATGGGCAATGCAAATAAAAATTAATTTAATCTTCTCATGGAATACGTGCAAACGGCAAAGAAATTCTTGGAATAGAACAAAATTGTGCAAGCCCCTTGAAGCATTTTAACCTTTGGCATTCTGCGTGGAATAATAACAAGGGGATAAAAAGTTGCTGTGCCCATTAAAAATGGCTTAAAGGGGCATAATAAAATTATGCAAATATATTCAACGCGGACGCAAGGACACATTTCTTATCCCATCCGGTATGACTGAAGACTTGTTGGCTCTGCAAATTAATTTTAATTATAAACTTTTAAGAGACTGCAAAACGAATTCAACAAAAATAAGTGTAAACTCATTTCTGTTATCCGAATTCGTGTGCTGTTATGTTCTCTTGCAGCTTCTACTAAGCACAAAGCTTATTCATCTGAAACTCATCTTTCAGAAATCCTTGAACTTTTCGTTGAGCTGCGGCTTTTCAAATGTTTTCTCATCTACAAGATGTTCATTATGAAACGGAAATGAGCAATTGCCAGCACAGTGCTGTAAAAGGCCACAATAAAATGCTGTTGCCTAAGTACTATAAGAGTTTTAACAGTTTGACAACACTGGCTACCAAAATGAAATGTATAAATTAACTAAATTAGTGTTATCATGTTTAACGTCGTTTTACAACACTGGCTACGCAAAGTTTAATGATATAAATGTCTGTAAACCTTTTTATAAGTGTTGCAATTAATGTAGGTGACTTGACAACACTGTTTAGAAATCATTTAGCAGCACCAAACAACACTAAATCTCTATTTCTATTCTAAAGCTTTCTTTCTGAATCGCCAATCAAAGTTAATTTACTTCAATTGTGACTAAGTGCATAATCAAAGGCAATTATAATGCCATTTGCTGTCAGGTATATACAACTACAACTAATACGCTTTTTATCCTTTGTACAGGTTCTCCAGCCGCTATGAGCTTCCATTGCTGGTGCAGAGTGTCGTCATGAATGTCACCATGTTCCTAATGATACACCTTTGCGTGAAGGTGAAACGCATGAATGCCAATGCACGTGACCATGCGCTCCGTGGTAAGGCAGCGTCTTCTTCTTCTTCTTGTACCTTAGCTCGATTAAATAATGACAACACACTTTTCCTTTTAAGGCGATGAGCTGCACTTGCCAAAAGTGCTGACGGACACGGACACCGGCGCCTCCGTATCCACGGATGCGGGCGTCCTGAAGCGTGCACGTTCCAGGCATTATTTGAATGGTGAGTCACAAGGCGCAGCTGCCATTGAAAAGTTTTCCCGCATTGACAGCTGACAGCAATTTCCGTTCCGTCAGATTGTCTTAAAGGCGGAACCAAAGAGCCACCCATATCAGCATATATCAGTTTATGGCCCAGCACAACACTCCCAGTTCCAGTTTTCAATTTCTATTTCTTTACATTTACGGCGCTTCGTTATCTATACGCGCCATTTGCAGTATTTTAGCCTCGGTACCTTATCAATCTGCCCTCGCGCAGGCCAACATAATAAAACCGGGTTAGGAGGCGGAAACGTGGCCCATAAATTGATCAATGAACAAGGGCCACAACCCCGACGCAGGCATTGAGCTAATTATAGAGGCACGCCTGGGGCTTCTTCGCTATCTTTGTGGGAAATGTATTTTTTCGTCGTATACGTATATGCACATCGCCTAAAAGACGGCAACAATAAATAGAATTGATTTTAAATCATTTTGCCAGTTTCAAGGCGTCAATTCCAAAATAAATATAACAAAAACATTGTAATTAAGTATAACAGGTTTTTCAACATTCACGCGCTGTTAAATATCATAATCTGAACATTGTTATACTGAACATTGTTCGTGTATAACAGTTATGCATATTGTATAACAATTGAAGTATAAAGTTATGCATAGCAGAAGGACAAACAGTTTGTAAGTCCAATTAAGAAAAATATTTTATACTGTATAAGAGTATAATAGTATAACATTATAATTGGCAACAACCGTTTAGCACAGTATTTCAGTTTCTATAGCTGCATACAAATGCGGTTTTCTATAAAAACTTAATAAAGATGTTATACTGTATAACAGTATAAGAAATTGCTTGACTGTTAACATTTTATACTACATAAATTCTTGTTTGCAAATGAAGTGAAGATTGCGAAAATAAATATTTAGTCGCCTATCCCGCTGTACACTTTTTTTTGTATAACAGTTTCATAAACCCGTTTGCAAGATAACAGTTTGAAAAATAACTTGACATTGCCTAACGAAAACCTTCCAAATGAATTAAGCACTAGTATAACAGTTTAGTATAACATCAATTTCAGATCTGGACTTCAAATACTTTTGGAACTGGACAGATTTTCAATCGTATCTGGACATGATGCTCGTCGTCTGGGCCGTTGGCGCCGCGATCACATATCTAATGCTATCCGTTCACTGGTTCATGGAGGCCATGGGCTTTGTGGCCGTCTTCACGGAGGCCATGTTGGGTAACATACTTGTACCAGGCACACAACAATTCCCACTAATTATTTGCTGCATGCTCCATTCACAGGTGCACCGCAGTTTCTGCGCAACTTTAAGAATAAATCAACATATGGTATGAGCATACACATGGTGATCATGTGGACGCTCGGTGATATGTTCAAGACTGGTTACTTTATTGCTAGAAATGCGCCATCGCAGTTCTGGATTTGTGGCACGCTGCAGGTGCGTACGAAATTCCTAAATAAAATAAATCCTAAAAATATAAACAAAAGGCACAAAGGGTTGCTGACATATTTAAATTGAAGCTTGCTTAGATCAATGCAATTTAAAAAAAAAAATATAAAATTGTTAAATTCATATTTTTAGCATTGCAATAATTCAATTTAAAATATTCGCACTGCATTTCCGATGGCTTTTGAAATACCTGAGCTACATATTCAGGCACTTGTTCCAAATTTCCAGATGTTTTTATTGGCCGCAAGTTCAAAAGAATTCCATTATTTTGCACTTGGGCCAAAACGAAATAAAAGAAAAAGATGTTCAGTAAACTAAAACCCAATCGCAAATAGAAGAAAACGCGGAAATAAAATTGAAAATTGATGATAAAATAATAAATAAAAATCAAATCTCTTCTCTATATAGTATATAGGACAGCATAATATAGGAGAAAAAAATGTAATCGAATAATTTCTGCTTCATAATTATCTGAACAGAATAGTTATTCAACTATTGTTCATTTAAATAGCAACAATTCTGGGCATCGCAGGTATATAGAAAAATTATAAATTGTCTCCCGACTTAAGCCAGTGCAGATATGTTAATTAGCAAAGCTTCGAACCGGCTTCCTGCCATAAGTTTTGTCGTATATATACCAGATGTTAAAGAAAATAATATTATACGCTTGTAGAGGGTATTGTAACTTCGCCAGGGTATTAAATCTTCGGCATGCCGAAGATAACCTTGCGTACAAACAATGCAATTACAAGGTAAACTTCCCTACATAATCATAAGTAAGAAAAGGTATTAAGACTTCGGCTTGCCGGAGATGTCGTTGTTGTCATTTATTGAAATTAATTGTGTTTAACATGCAACACCTGCCCTTAGCTAATGCTCAACTTTTATGCAGGTCAGCCTGGACATTGCCATATTGCTGCAGGTGTGGATCTATCGGAACAATACGAAGCCGCGCGACCTGAGGCGCGGCGATTAGCAGTTTGCCCCCGAAGAACAACAACAACAACAACAACAGCAACAACAACAGCAACAACAGCAGCAGCAACAACAACAACAGCCACACGATTTGCACCTTTCGCTCTCCGAGGAACGACAATTGTCGCTGCCAATTACGCTGAGCAGCAGCGGCGAGGATCATCTGCTGACCGCACGCGCCGACGACGAGCACTTCAAGACTCTGGACTTTGGCCAGTGCCACGACAATCGCGCCTTTCAATATCCCGCCCAGCATCCCAGCAATAATAACAACAGCAACAGCAACAAGAAGCTGCTGCCACGGCCTGGAGGCAGCGGCAAGAGCCAGAGCCGGCACGAGCACAGCGCATCCCATAACGCTGTGGCCGTTGCCCTGGATGCCTTGGAGGTGGTCATTGTGCACACACCGAATGCCCGGCTCAGCAATGGGCCGGCCGCGGAGCACAGGCACAGCCAGGGACGCGCGAGCGGCGGCAGCTGCTGTCAGCGTCGACGCAAGCGGCACAATGCGACGCAGACTTCTGTGGAGCGCTGCTGCTGTGCCGCCGCCGGCGGCTGTCATTGCCATGTGACGACCACGCATCATCATCATTGCCATCACCATTGCCATCATCATCATCATCATCAATATGATAGCACCAGGCGTAGCCAGCGGCAACATCGCCAGCATCAGCATCAGCAGCGTCTGGTTGAGGCGCCGCGTCACAAGTTGCATTCCAAGCGAAGTCCGCTTCCAGCCAAGCACAACAAGTCTTCCCTGGACTCTAGCGAGGATCCGCAACGGCCGCAGCTGCATTCAGCGGCAATTGCCATTGAAATTGATGCGGCCACCGTAACGGAGAACAACAGCAGCACGGCCACCTCCAATTTTCCATACAAGGTGGCCAGCGAGGGCGGCGGCGCGCCCATGAATCTATTGCCGCTCTGCGAGAAGCATCGTCAGCGACGACGCGCCTCCCTCAACTCCAATACGACAATTGAAACCGATGAGCTGTCGCGCGACGAAGATGTAGCGGATGAGGAGGAGGAGGATGATGATGATGATGATGATGTGCGCCTGGGTGTGCAGCCGGAGGATGAGGAGCAACTGACGCCCTCAACGTGCGCCGTGCAGCCCAGCAGCAGCTCGAGCAGCACGGCGCGCGCCTTTGCTGGTGCTGCACCGCCGCGTAACGAGTGCGTCCGGATTAAGCGCAAGCGTTTCGTGCCCGACGCCATGCAGGATTATTGCAGCAGCTGTTCGCGTTGCTCCAGCTGCAGCTGCGACCAGGCGCGCACCAGCTCCTGCAGCAGCCTGGACGAGGATGTGGCACACGAGCTGACCGTCGCCGCCGACTGCCATCGCTGCATGGCAGCCGAGCAGCAGGCAGGCCACAGTCGACCCGGCAGCAGCCTGAAGAGTTTCTGCTCCTGCCACACGAACAGCTGCTGCTGTGGCGTCGACGATGACGACGATGCCGTCCACTTTGCTGGCGATGAGGAGGAATTCGATGACGACGACGACGACGCTGAGGATGATGAGACAACGGGTCAGCGCGAATCGTTCTGCACGGCCGCGGATCACACAATTGTGAGCACGCCGACGCACAGCAGCACCTTGACGCCGCTGAGCACACAGCAGGAGCAGACAATGGCCGAGCATGATCTGAATGCCATAACCGATGCGGATGCCTCATCGCTAAGCCAATCTGCCGAATATTTTTCACTCTCCTCCGCCGTGGGCGGCAGCAAAGTAGCCGAGGAGCAGGCCAGCAGCAGCTGCGGCCACAACGAGAACAATGCCAACAAATCGTGGAGCAAGCATATACGGCTCAAGCGCAGCTCCTCGTCAATGGACTCGCATTTATGACGAAGCGTCTCGCTGGTCGCCTGGCCAGCCATCGATGTCAACGCCCTGCTGCAGCAGACCATACGCAAGACAGCAGCCGTGCTGCAGGAGACAACGCCAGTCAAGCGTCGCATGCCGCTCACGCCCCAGCTGCCACGTCCAGGCGTTCCGGCGCCGCCGGGCAGCAACGACAGCTCCTCGGCCACCCTAACGCCCAGCATCATCAGCGTCAAGCAGCCAACCGCCGTAACCACACGCAACGGCATTACCAATACATCAACTCTGCCAGCTGTGCGCACGTTGCGCGGCAGCAAATATTCGCCGGTGGCGGATCCGCTGCAGCGACGCTCCCAGGAGATCATACTCTAAAGCTGGCACCTACCTCTGCTTGGCTGTGTCTGACAACAGAGTTTTGTTTTTCTTCTATTTTCGCGAGAAAATATTCTCCATTTATCCAATTGTTTAGCTGTTCACATTATATGTTGTTATTCGGGGGTTCCCCAATGCAGAAGAGAGTTCAGATCCAATGTACATTATATAAAAGTATATTTCTTGTGAACTGATCAGCCTTTAGCCAATATCTTTTTGTATATGTGTGTGTGTAATTATTATTTTAGTTTTGAACTATGTGAATTTAATGCCTCGTCCGGAGCGAGCCCCGAGCCGCCCCAAAACAATTGGCCTAGTGTTAGTTAGCTTAGGAGACAGACATATCTATTCAACAAAAAAAATAATATAAATTTATCTTTATGCTGCTGGCTAACGGGCTTTTAGGTTTGGGGCGTGGCGGGGCGGGTCAGTTCAGTTCGTACAATTTTCTTAGTCAATTTCTCGTAGCCAAGTAAGTTGAAGCATGCATAATTAATGTAAAAACATAAAGGCAAATCTCGATATTAAAAAAGTTAATAAACAAAAGAAGAAGAATACATTTATAAATTTAATGATTTTTCTAGCAGAATTTATTAGCTAAGTCGTTAAGTATGTGTAAATTAAAATAAAACCAAAAGCGACAAACGAATTTATGATTTTTTCTCTTTATTTATTTAGTTTTTATTTGCAAATTTGGCACACGTTTTCTTTAAAATAAATGGCACCAAACACACACACACACACACACACGCACGCAGTTACACCTATATATACCCTAGCTATTAAATGTCGAATACGTTTAAGCCAATTACTATATAGCGTATATATACCAAGAGAGAAATAACTTAGTTGATTTAAACAGAAAGCTAACGCAGCCAAATATCTTCCTTGCAATATTGAGATTCCGTTGACAAATGCTACACACAATTTATTAATCAAATATCTAATTTATTTTTAAGCTAAACTATACGTCAAGTGCTTGAAAATATTTCGAAAATATTAAAAAAAAACAACTAAGAATTACTAAAAAAATAGAAAAAAGAAAACCAAAACAACTCCACGAGTAAAAATGTGTTTAACGATTTGCCTAAGAATTTGTTGATTAGTGCGTAGCCGATGTCTTGTTTGCGTATATATATATATGAATATATCGATTCTAAAGCTAAAGTTTAAGTATGTGTATCTAGACCATGAGTTGCCGCCTGTTACAGGTAACACACACTTTGTTGGCCACCTTAACGTTTTTCTATCAAATAACTCCAAATGTAACGAATTACTTATATAACCAATAGTCATAATCATAAATGTTCAAACTATACGATCTATGTCTAAATTGTGCGCATTTCAATGTGGAACTTGATAGGGTTCTACATATATATACACATATATTATACTCGGAATATCGTATTACCAAGTATATAATACTAAAGCAATATTTGCATACAACTTGAATTAAATGAATTATTACAAATATAATTATAACAACTATACTTTCTTATTCAAATTGGTAAATAATTATTCCGGTTAAAGATTCAATAAAAAATATTGCGAGTAATCAAAAACAAAGTGGCGGGTAAAATTCAAATTCAAAATAAGAGCGGGCGCTTAGTATTTCTGGTATTTTGCTGTTGACAGTTGCACTGCTTGTTTGTATTAACAGCACAAATTGAATAGATTTACCAACACTGAACAAATACCTTAACAGCTGTTCAACAGTGCTCCGTTTATATCGATATATCGATATTTTATATAATTTAACATAAGACAACACACTGCGCCTGCTAGCGTTAACATTAATATGTCGTGTGTCGCTCGAACTCAAAACAAAAAAATTTGTTAGTGGTTTTTTTTTCGTGCGAGTTGCAGCAACGTTCTGCTAGCGATTACGTTCGCTTAACTACTAATTATTCAAATAAAATAAAATAAACGCGACGGTAGTTATAAAGTGAAAAGCAAACAGCAATTCACCTAAAATATTGCAAACAAAGGGAAGATATAACAGTCAGTAACAACAAAACTAACAACAATAGTTTCAACAAACCAAAGGTTTTATTTTTCTTGATAAGAACGCGCTGATAGAGCGAGCGGCGAAGACGTATTGAAATTGCGACTGGTAAGTGTTACACAGCGAGCCCTAAAAATAACTGTGCGAGTGTGTATGTATGTATATATGTACATATTTGTGAAGCTTGCAAGTGTGTGTGTGTGTGTGTGTGTGGGAGAGTGCCGTTATCTATCCCTTTGTTGGCCGCTCTGCTCTTTCGGCCCGCAACTGTAACAATTGTCAGCATCAATTGCCAATTATGAGCTTTTGACCCCCAGCCAGACATGAAAACATCTTTAGCCTAGTCTATTTTATTCTTATTCAATAAATTCAATAGAGACAACACTTGCCTCTCTACCTGCGCAATTGTTGTCATCCACAAGCAGCCTGCTCTTGAACGTGTGCGTATGCATGCTTGTGTGAGTGTGTGTTTTCCTATTGCATTGCACTTTAGCTTTTGACATTGCTTTTTGCAACGCTTTAAAAGCTGCTGCTGCATGCTGTCCAAGGGCGTAAGCAGGGCGCCCATAGTACATATATACTTATATATATATATATCCGTCAATTCAATGTCAGCTTTTCATTGAACTTGATACTGAAATTTTGAGTGGTTTTTGTGTGTCTGAAGGCTAAAGTCCATGGCCAAGGCTCAAAACTGTAAGCCGAACAGTGCTGTTAAATATCCCACAGAAAGTTCAGCTTGAACCAAATGTAAATACATATATATTCACCAAGCACAACTGCAAACCAGATGGCAACACTCCATACACAATAACAACAAGCCGTTCAATTGTAAACAAACAATTTGTTTTTTCAAATGGAGCTGCCAGACTGCTGTTAGCGAATCTGTAAAGCTTCTATCAATTAACACTGTTAGTAATCTTAAACGGTTAAAGGTTATATGTATATGTGTGTGTGTGTGTGATTGCACCCTTTACGATATGTCTGTCACAATTACTCGCGGTGTGTTTACATTTAGAGCATCTTGTGCAAGGTCCGGCTTGGTGTTAGTAGCCCAGCTGCGGATTTCTTATCAGCGCACAAATATAAATAAACAAAACATATGCATGTTAGTAAATGTTCTCGCTTTATTATCAAGAAGCTTATTTGTGCCCTCATTTAAAACCATATGAGCAGCTAATCTTGGCTTTGTTCTGCCGAAATTAAACCAATAAAGCACAATACTATAGATGCATTTCATAATATACGATTGAATTAATTGTTACATATTATTCAATATCTGCTCTTAAAGCACCACAAGAATTAAATATAACTTCTCAGGCTTAGCCTTTTGTTGCTGCTGAATGATTTAGGGACAGAAAAATTACACAATAAACACACAGAAAACGCGCCTATTTTATTTACTGCTGACATCGCGACGCCCACACGCAACGTCAAGAAGCCAAAGTTCGCCCCAAATTGTGTGTTTTTCATGAATGGAACCGAACGCGAAAAGGAATGCGGAAGTGTTAACGAGTGCGAATGAGATAGCTATAGTTGCACGCTATCTTTTCTGGCATTGCTTTCAGCCTCAGCTGCGCCGACTAACTGTTTATATTCAGTACCCAGTAAAATGGGTAGAAAGGGTATGCTCTCTTCCTCTATATCTATCTACTTAAACTCGATCTGAAGTTTTCAAAAATATATTACTAACAATCTCTAACTACCAATAGGATCCGTTGAGTTAGTAGAAAATATTATTTGCGTTTAGGAATAAATAAGGCAACTCTTGCACTTGATTTAAGTCTTAAATTGTTAGATTATTGTTCTAAGAAAAGGGGTATTTTTTTGGTATTTTTTTAACAGCGCCCCCTCCAAAAAGTTTATTGAAATTCTGTCTAATGCACATGCCTGAATGTAATTTTGATGAGGTCCAGCCCATCTGACAAGGATCGAAAAATGGCCAACAAATGGACAACAGTTATTCAAAAGTCAATTTAACTAAGTGTTTAGCTGAGCCCGTGTGTGTGTGTGTGTGTGTGTGTATTTGCTGGGTATCTTGTGGGGCCACACACAACTACTTTCTGTTTGATTGGGAAGCAGGAAAGCACATCATGAATAATCCCAGCGGTAAAATGAGGATTGACTTTACGCGTTGTGCATTTAAATCGCAGTTGATCAGATGGAGCTGAGCTTTGGGATTTGGCCTAAACATTTTACAATATCGCATAGTAGTCGATTTTACTTTCATGGCCAGCTTAAATGAATTTCTCGATTTACACAA